TAGCATTTGCCATTACCTCTAACCAATCATCGTACGCTTTATTTTCACGTGATACTACTCCGCTTTAGACGACCCCCGAATATGGTAATAGTCTATTACACAAAAATATGTTATTTTCTTTGTTTTAAGTTTACTTCTTTTAATAATAAGCATATTATAAGTTTCCTTTCTTTTAATTACCGTACCTCTTGAGTCTTGACAGGCATGTTTAAGATTTAATAGCAAAGAAAAAAAACAATAAAAAAGAAACGATTAAATGAAAAAAATATCTCAATATGCTAATATGCTAAAGACAAATGTTTAATTGTTTATTGGTACTGTAAAACGCGTGATCGTGATTTATTTTTGATTGATAATTTCGATAATTTCGGGGGCTAATTTAGGCCAAAATTATAGGTCACGTGGTGTGAAAATTTTCTGGCAGATTATGATCGCACGCGTGACGTTGATATATATTTGTCTGACATAAATAATTTGTGTAACTACTATCGCTATAAACTCCGGACTTTTACAACGCTTTTCATTACGCGTCTAATATATAAGCTTTTGAAGACCGTTAAATTCTATTCTATAATAACATTCTTCCATTATAATTTCATAATGACTTCAGTTTCTCTCACAAGAGTTTCTATTGACAGTGGGTCTGTTCTACCAAAGACTCCAAGTTACTTAGGTAGAATTACGCAAGAGGTTCCTGTTAAACAACGGTTTGTTATCAGCAAAATGATCTTAAATAATTTTAAGTCGTACTTTGGTAAACAGGAAATAGGTCCGTTTCACAAGGTATAATATATATATTTGTTTTCTTGGAGCTTTGTTGCATCACGAGATACTCTCTAATAATTAAAATTTAATATCAAAAGTCATTTTCTGCTGTTGTCGGATCAAATGTTTCGGGAAATCAAATGTTATAGATGCGCTTTTATTTGTATTTGGTTATCGAGCAAATAAAATGAGGCAAGCCAAATTATCAGAACTTATTCATTCATCACAAGGATGTGAAAATCTGGATGCGTGCAGTGTTGATATATATTTTGAAGAAATTCTTGACTTGGTAAAGAAACAAAATATAATAAAGTTATAATTTCCAAAAAAAAAAAAAAAAATTTCATAAATGATTTCAATAATATTATAGCCTGGTTCGGATAATTATGAGGTTCTATCTCAATCTCAATTGGTTATCTCGCGTCAAGCATTTCGCAATAATGCAAGCAAATATTTCATAAATGGGCGACAAAGCAATTACACTGAAGTTACAAGTCTTTTGAAAGAAAGGGGGATCGATTTGGATCATAAACGATTTCTAATTTTGCAGGTTCCCTTTTTATTTATTTATTATGTTTTCATCATGAGGTATATGATTAATGTATTGAAATCATCAAAATTTTATCTTAAATTAATGATTAGGGAGAAGTTGAATTAATATCGCAGATGAAACCCAAAGCATCAAACGGACATGAAGATGGACTCTTAGAATATATTGAAGATATTATTGGAACTTCTAAATATAAGGTCCCTCTTGAAGAAGCAAATGAAAAAGGTGAAACATTGGATGAAGAACGATCAGAAAAATTAAATCGCGTTAAAATAGTTGAAAAGGAAAAACTAAATTTAGAGGTAACATATTATTAGTAAATCGCGTTTGTAATCATATTAAATAACAATAATGATTCGAATCTTTTTGAATCGAAAGGCCAAAAAAAAAGAAGCAGAAAATTATCTCCGAGATGAAAACACATTAACTTTGAAACAGTCCGCCCTTTATCAAAGAAAATTGCTAGGGTGTAAGATTAATTCTGAAATATCTACTAAGGCTGTGGTAAGTCATTAGATTTAATAACTTATTCAGACAAGTTAATATGGCAATTAATTTATTTATTAATTCTTAGAATAAATTAAAAGATCAACTGAGAGAAGAAGAAGAAAAGCATATTCAGATAAAACAAGATAACAAAGATCTTGAAGATAAATACAGAGATTCTGTTAATGCTTATAAGGTAAAATAATTATTTTAATTTATAAATAAATAAAATTTCATTAATTTAATAATTGTGTTTATTTTAATAAGCAACTTGAAAAAGAAACAAATGAAATTCTAACAGAATTGACAAATTATGATAAAGAAAATATTAACCTGGAAGAAAGAAGAAAACACGCAATTTCTAAACAGAAGAAAGTGACAATGACAATTTCTACAGTAGGTTTTATTTGTTTATGTTATATTGATGCACAGATATATTCGAGAAATATAATAAGCTTTTTATTATAGGATCTTCATGGACTTTCGGATGCGAAAACAGCATTACGATTTAATGAACAGGATTTGAATGATCGAATGAAAGAAATGGCGGGCTTGGAAATATCTTTAGAGGCCCAAGAAAGTGAACTTGAAAAAATCAGGGAAAGCTTAAAGGGTATGTGAATCGATTATTTTATCTAATTGTGTAAAACTTTTTAAATTTAATTTAAATAAAGGCAAGTCAGAAGTTTATTCAAACCAAATTGAAGAAAAGAAAAGAGAACTTGCACCTTGGTTAGAGAAAATTAATGCAAGGAAATCACTTATTGATGTCAACCAATCTGAATGCAACATTTTAAAAGAGAAATATGATTCAATAAAACAAGATCTTAAACAAGCAGAAGAAGATGCCGTCACGCTTGGAGAATCACGTCGGAAGAAGGTATTGATATAAAGCATCATTGCTTTTTTGTGACGAATTTAATAATAATTGAACTGCTTTTTTAGGAACAAGAAATCTCATCTAAAAAGAATCAAATTAAAGACATGAAACTATTAATTCAACAATTAGAAACTGATTTAAAGGTAAATATTTAATATTTAAATTAAAATATATTAAGTATTTTAAGATTCTCATAAATATCTTTTATTACTTTTAGCATTACCTTAGTCAGCAAGAACTTTTCAAGTCTAGTCTTGCCGATTCTCGACAAAGAGAAGATGAGGCGAAAAGACTTTTAAATTCTTCTCAGTCTAGAGGACAAGTTCTTAGTAGCTTGATAAAACTTAAAGATAATGGTCTTATAAAAGGATTACATGTAAGTTCGTCGGAGCGGAGCGTTCTATAATTTTGTTTTGATGAAAATTTTATTTATTAATTTTTTTAATTAGGATCGTTTGGGTAACCTTGGTGTCATTGATGATAAATACGATGTCGCGATTTCAACTGCCTGTCCTGCATTGAACAACATTGTAGTTGATTCTATTGAAGTTGGACAAACTTGTATAGAATACCTTAAAAGAAACGATTTAGGTTGCGCTAAGTTCATTCTTTTGAATGAACTGCCTACCATGGACATCCGCCCGATACAAACACCTGAAAATGTTCCCCGTCTTATTGATCTTATTAAGCCGAAAGATGACAGGTTTATCCCAGCATTTTATAGTGTGTTACAAAACACTTTGGTTGCCCAAAATTTACAACAAGCGAATAGGATCGCATTTACTAATACGCGATGGCGCGTAGTGACGTTAAGTGGTCAATTGATTGATAAATCTGGCACTATGAGCGGAGGAGGTAACAAAGTGTTTAAAGAAGCCATGAGTTCAACATTTTCTTCTGACATAAGTTCGGAGACAATATCGAAATTGGAACAAGACCGTATCCACTTTGAAATGCAGTGGAAAGAAATAAATGAAAAAATTAGGTCTTTAGAACCTCAATTTCAAGAGAAAAAAGATGAACTTTCTAAATTAGAATTTGAGCTATCGAAGTTAGAAATGAATGCGAATGCTTGCGCAAAACGTATTATCTGTACTGAAAAAAGAGTAGCCGAGTTACGGTATGCATAGAACTACTAATAAATTCTTGTTAAGGGTTAATAATAATCATTTTTTTTTATTTTTTTCTATAAGTCAAAAAAATAATCCAAGTATAGATGATACCAGGCGTATGGAACATCTTCAAATACAAATAGATCATCTAACACAAGAGTTAGATAGATTGAAAAGACAACCTTCTAAAATTGAAGAGGAGATTAAGATTTTACAAGATAAGATTTTGGAAATTGGGGGTGATAAACTTCGAGCTCAAAAGTCTAAATTAGATCATGTTAAAGAACAACTTGTTTTAATAAATGAACGAATTATCAAGTCTCAAATGGCCAAATCAAGGGCGGAAAAGGATAGGATTAAAATCGAAAATTCTCTAGCAAAAAGTGAAAGAGAATTAGAAGAATTAAATAATGAAATAGAAAAACTTACGAAAGAAATTCAACAGAAAGCCGAAGTTGCTCGTTCCATTCGTATTAAATCCGATGAAGCCATATCAGTATTTATTCAGACTTTTGTTTAATTATAACTGATTTTTTTTTAAAAAAATATATATATAATACTTATTTACATTTTTCCTAATTATCAGATATTGGAAAGTAAAAAAGAAGAATTAGATGATATCAAGGAAAAACTTGATGAAAAAACCGAAATAATTAATCGGATTCGAGCAATTGAGGTTTATATTTAAATTTATTATTATTCTCTCAACATTACGTCAAATTTTTTTATAACCAATCACTGTATATTGTATTAGTTAAAAATCAAAAACCATCTCGAAGATAATGAGCGCATTTTGATAGAAAATAAACAAAAAGAAATTCATTGGCGAAATTCTCTTAGAAATCTTACACTTCATGAGATTATGTAAGCGTGCTGAAGATATTTTTAAATATTCATTCTACCATTTATCTAATTAACCTTATAAATAGAGGTGATGAGGAACAAGAATTTCAAATTTACACTGATGATGAGCTCGATGCAATGGACAAAGATACATTACAAGGAGAGATCAATGATCTTAAAGGTATTCTAATTTATCTTTTTATATTTTTCTTATTCTTTATATTTAATATTTTTTTTTTTAAAAAAATTTCTTCAGAGAAAATACAAAATGCCAACCCAAATCTAAGTGTTTTGGAAGACTATCGTATTCGTGAGAAAGAGTATTTGTCACGTGTTAGAGAGCTTGAAGAGATTACTTCTAAGCGTGATGAGTGTAAAAAGGAATACGATCGTTTAAGAAAGCAACGATTGGAAGAATTCATGCGTGGGTTCAATTTAATATCTCGGAAACTCAAAGAAATGTATCAGGTATCTAAATGGCACTTTTTATCTCAACATATGTTACGTAAAATATAAACACGCGTTTGTTTTTAGATGATTACTCTTGGAGGAAATGCCGAGCTTGAATGTTGCGACAGCTTGGATCCTTTTTCTGAAGGCATTATTTTTAGTGTTATGCCGCCGAAAAAGAGTTGGAAAAATATTTCGAATTTATCTGGTGGAGAAAAGGTATTTCGTGTGTTTTCCAACGTTCATTTTAATTATGCTTGACATAATGATTATTTATTTTGTCAAAATACAGACACTTAGTTCTTTGGCTTTAGTATTTGCTCTACACCAATTCAAACCTACACCTTTATATGTTATGGATGAGATTGATGCGGCCTTGGATTTTCGTAATGCGTCAATCGTCGCTAACATTATTAAAGAACGAACTAAGGATGCACAATTTATCGTTATTAGTTTACGTAATAACATGTTTGAACTAGCGGATCGTTTAGTGGGGATTTATAAAGTACATGATCAGGTAAGATTCTTACGCGTAAATGACATTTTTAATGAAATACTATTAATCTTTTTATGAATAATGTTATTTTAGACAAAATCCGTTACTATTGATTCGCATGAAATTGATAAAGTATTTGGATAATGAATTTTTTTTTTTTTGAGTAGCTCCGTTCAATAATTATCAGTTATTAACTATGCTAAATGATATAATGTCAAATAAAAAAAGAATTTTGGGCTGACCAATAAATTATTTAATATGTGATGATTGTAAGGAAAAATAAATCCAATCATTCCATATAATTTTCGAGAAGATTAAGCATTTACTTTTTATAGTAAAAATCAATTAGAATGTACTTATAAAATTAGAAAACAATTTTAAAATCAAATTTTTACTAATTAAATACTATATTTCTAAATGTTTCTTAATGATACTGTATATGATGTTTGTAATACGTCATAAAAATATTTGACGCTATTTACAGAATTGAAAATATGTATAAGTTTCAGATTTAACTTTGATTCTTCAAAATCCACCGGACAAAATTTTCCTATATTTAATGAGCCATCAATATTTCGCAAAGGCTTAGTTCCTTTAATTCCTTCCATTATTTTCCAAGAATTTTGATTAGGCACTCATTATCTGGACATTCATATTCAATATTTAAAATTTGCAATTGCGCAAAGGTAGCATATTGAAGTTTATTAAAATCTTTTAAACCACCTATTGATTCGGTGGTTGAGTATGTTTCGACACCGACCATTAAATTGCAGTAATTGCATTTGTTGAAAGTTCACATGCACAACTATGGTTTCTATGTATTGTGGTGCAGCTGACGCGAATTCGAATTGCCCCGTCGTAATTGGTTGTCTCATCATCCCGTATTTGATGTTTTTGATGTTGAGGCGAGTATATATTACATATTCGAACCTCTTTCTCTTTCGCCTTCAAGAAACCAAATCAACATGACAACTCTCGCGTTTTTTCTAATCAGTCAAGGAAAAAAATTATCGAGATTTTTTTTTTTTTTTTCGATTTGCAAATAAATTATTTCTTTGAAAAAATCTTCGGCCACATCAAGGAGTAGTAAGGTTGATAAGCTATTTAATCCAGCTAGTATAATAAGCATAAAGTTATCTCCGAAGATGAATCTTCATAATCAATTCAGAACGGTAAATATTGAGAGATCTTCTTAACTCCAAACTTTCGGCAAATTTTTAATTGCGAATTAATATCTACAATTTTAATAAATCAATTGAATAAACTAACAAATTACGATAAATTAACACTAGCTTTAATAATTAATACCTTTCACTATAACTACGCTTCGTCTAGTTGAGTAAGCATCGACGAGTTGTAAAAACTCCTCTTAGAACTCTAATTTGTACCATAAATTGAAAAACGTTTTCGAATCGAATCTCCTAAACCTTCTGCAATTGATCCTCAAAAATAATATAAAATTTATTTTCATATATACTGTTTCATATGCATCTTTGATTACCCAATACAATTGATAGACTTCGAATTTTTCCGTTTCTATTTATAATTCTTAAGTATATAGCAACGGAAGCTACGTGCACGTTCTCATAGTTCATCGCAATAATACCTTTTTTATATTTTCTGGATCGGTTGGTTGCAGTAAGTGTTGAATCAGGTTAAGAATCAATAGTTAACATATTGATTTCTTTCCAGAAATAATTACGTGATGAACGTCAGAATTTCCACTTATGCATCTGAACAATTGTCCATTGAGCTGGTTTAACAGATATTTATCAGAGTCGAATTAGAAAAAATTGTCTTGGGTTCTAACATAAAATTTCTACAACTTTGATCTTGAAAGTTCAGCACCATCCTTTTGCAAAAGCCATTTTTGAAAATGATTCGTGAAGAAATGCGACATTAGATCCAATCACTGTGCACGTTTTATGAAGCTTTGCTAACCTTACACCAGAATCCAAATTCCGGTGTAAATTTTACGGTCTAAATATCCAGCGTTAGATTTTGATGAAGAATTTCAATATATAATCTCTCATTAAACATTTAATATATAAATTTTCGACGCGATAGAATATTAATCTTTCATCATTTCTTGTTGTGACTTAACCAAGAAATTACGGTGAGAAAATTGAATTTATATTTTCAAAAGAGCTGTAACTTCCGCATCAATTGAAAGCATCGTACTGGCTAAATCAATATTAGACTTGTTCTAATAGATCAGTTTTTTTTTTTTTTTTTTTTTTTTTTTTAGATCTTGAAATATCAGTTGATTAGATATACGATTCAAAAAACTATACAGCGTCAGATCCTATTTTGTGAATTTAATTTTGTCATCAAAAGAATTCAATAATTTCGTATGATCTTTGTGTTATCTATTTGAATATTTTAAAGATGTCTTTGTTGCTTAGAATTCTGCCGTTTTCCATTCATTAGTTGTTACAAAAGAAAAAGTAGTTTCCGTCGTTATTTTCATTTTCTATTATAACAGAAGAATGGTTTGTTTCTCTAAAACATTCTATTAGACTATTATAAGATATGTTAAGAATAGTATTACGATACTTTATTAACTTTTCTTAACATTTGATTCTACGATTATTTATTAGTTCAAGATTCTGACTAGATATTATATCTAAAAATTTCTTGAGGAATACTATAATGAAATAAAGCTGGTCTTAAAGCTATAATATCGACCAATTGACTTTTTAGCATGATTCTATAAATTAAAAAAAAAAAAAAATGAGAAATTAACTTTAATTTCAATACCTTCATATGTCACTCTCGTCAATACTTAATAATTTGCGAGCTCCGGACTCACAATTACCATTCCCTATTTTTACTTTCCACAATATAGAAGTATCAAACCTTTAAAATTGAAAGTGTACTCAATTTACAGATACAAAAATAACAAGATTTCTAAAAAAAAAAGTCCATTACGAATATTACCATTCCTGCGTTGAAATCTATTTGTTTAATCGAAATTAAGACAGGAAAAGTAAATAATAAACAATATAAATTGTTCAGTATGGCAATTTCTACCCGTCAACACAAGAAAATTGACTATAAAAATAATTGGAAAAATTGGGCTCCAAAGAGTATTTGGTGAAAGGAAAGGGTGATGTTGAAAGGTGATTATCATATGACGAATATTTTTTAATTTTATAAAATAGTATTTTAATTGCCCAAGATCTAATACAAGCGAATAGGATCGCATTTAGCAAAACTCGATGACGCGTAGTGACATTAGGCCGTGACAATCTGGCGCTATGAGTGCCGATGCCATGAATTCAAAATTTACTTCCCGCAAATTTGGAAAAGACTGAGAAATCCCAACTTCAAGAGAAAAAAAAGGATGAAATGTTTGAACTATAAATCTTTTTTTATTAAAATTTTTTAATAAAAATCTACTCAATTATGAAACTTTACTTTATCAATCAATTAAATATTTGAAACAATTTGAACAATTAGGAAAAAGAACATGTAAAAAAATTTATTTTTTACCATAATAGATGTAATTTAGCTAAAAAAACATTTGGTATCTTTGCAATAGAAAGGAGAATAACTGTCAGAAAAAATTAATTTATTTATATATATCAAATACGATTTTTAGATCGAAGTTACATTCTTCTTTCTATTATATGTACACTATAGAAGAATTACGATTAATTAATAGCATAATAAAACTAATTAAATTAAGAAATTTTTGATGTAAATTTTGCCTATTTTACTCAGTTATATTATGTAATCATAATATTACAATCTTTAAGATACAGTTACACATATCTTAGTATCATTCAAAAAATCGCGCTCTCCTTCTTCTTAATGGCGGAATCAGGATCAATTTTACCACATTATAACGTTATTATTCCACTTTCTTTGTCATCAGAACAAGATAGGTTACATAATAATTCTTCTATTCGTTCGCAAAAAATTGATGGCGAGCGTAAAGAAATTAAACAAACCGCTGTTAAAGCTTTACATCAAAATTCTATATTAGCTATGCATGCGATTGCAAGTGGTGATGTAAGCCTAAGATTTTTTTTTCATAATTTGCAGTTGAAACAGACTATCTATAACAAGAGTAATTTTATAAAAATAGTCACCTGCTAGAACTAGATTACGGATGTTACGTTATTTAACAAGTTTACCACAAAGTGAATCTTTGGGTATGTCACCTTATTTTATATATTACACATTTCATTTTTTAAATCTTATAAATAACCTATTTCTACTTCTTAATTAGATAGATGACTAAATTAATTAATTAAAGTTTTATAAATAATCTATATAAATAATCAATAAACGCGTGTAATTAGTATTTAAAACTTAAGCTATATTATTTATTATAATCTTTTTAAAAAAATTTTTTTTTTTTTCAATTTTTAACAAGTTTTTAAAAATCACGTAACGACATTCCAGCCCCGAATTTCAGGGACAGCCACCTTCTTTCCCTTAAATTCTACTATTCCTCGGACCTTTTTATCACCAGAGATTATAGCAACTGGTATAGCACTAGGTTGGCCCGTGCTCAACGCTGCCTTCTGTTTATCGTTTTTTGGGTCTATTGGTGTGATCCTTTCATCGCATAACGGACATTTATATTTGGTTTCAGTATTCTCAACTAATTCTTGATATTTTTCTGGCGTGATTTCATCATCACACTTTATGTGAATCCATCTGTCACATACATCACAGCATATCATTTCTTTATCATCTTCATTCTCTTCTCCATCCTCCGAATAAGTTTTCAGACACATTGGACAAAATCTATCCTCAAAAAAGTTGAAATGGCATTTGTTACAAATCGTCGCCAGAAATATTGGATATCCAGTTGATTCAGATTTTGTCTCTGAATGATTATAATTTTTGGCGGCATCATTCAATGAGATAGCCTTTTCACCACATGAGTTGCATTGAGCACATAATGGACACAACCATGGACCTAAATAAAATAAAATTTGTGTCGTTATTAGAATCAAATTTGAATAATTAATACAATACTAATAGATCAATTTTTACCTTGGGGAACTTCAGTAACTTTTGGATCACAACAACCAAGGTGCCAACCACGATCACAGTCATCGCAGATTAAAAGTGTCGAATCGTCTTCAGTGGAATGACAAATAACGCAATTTTTGCAATCATGACATAGCCAAGGGTATCCTTCCATCGCAATGATAAGTCTTGGAGTTGTAAGACCTAAACAAAATGGATGATACTGTTTTAAGCAATTTGCGCATTTGGTCTTGTATTCCATTGAACATGACGCTCCGACATTTTGAGGTACAGCAGAATCAGGAGCGGTAACTGAAAAGCATTTTGCGCAAATATCATCATGGAGAATAGGTAATGATTGAGCCGCACTTGAACTTGATGCAACAGCAGGACTTGACATGATACTATTATTCATTGACTATTGATGAATTGAATTAGATATTGTTAATAATATTTTGATTATAATTTAATGAATCAAATTATTTCTAACCTGAATTAGAGCTGAATCTATCATATCAGGAATAGTCCTTGATAGGATGGTCCCGTCCGGGGTTACCTCAACATCTACGTGTCCTTTATGGAACATGCACTTATCTCCTTCAGAAGACACTCCGCGTTTACAGGGTTGTCCGGTTGTAGAAGTCAATATACCACAAATAAATTGGGGAGGCGCCTTTCCTGGCGTATACTGGATATTATCATCCTCCTGTGAAAAAAAAAAAAAAAAATTAAATTCACACGTCTACAATATTATAAAATATAAATAATATACAAGATTATCGTCACGACTGAAGAACATTGACGTACTATTTCATCAGGAAAATAGTAACATTGTTCATATGGAGTATCATCTGCAGGAGGTGACGCGAAAATTGATGGTGGTGGGGTAGATACTTGATAAGAAGAATGTTTTAGAACTCTGGGAAGATCCTGACCAAATCTTGTACGATGTCTAAATGCATTAATAAAATGTAATTAATTTATAGAAAGCAAACATATTAAAGTATTCATTTTTCTAAACACAATGACAATTACATTGGATATCTAAATTGGAATTGACCATCCATTAATGCTATAGGATACTTATCATCAGGAACTTGTCTTGTTGCTTCCTCCTTTTCCATATTATCAACAACCTGTCGAATCTCAGGAGGTAAAACTTCCAGGACTTCTGCACTTAGCGTGCTAAGAGGATTGCTAGGAACCGTCGCAAAATGAATCTCTGGGTCCTTCGTTGCTATTATTATATCACTCGAGAGTGGTAATCCTGTTGGTTGCGATAAAGATTCAACCCATATGCGCGTAGGTTGAGTTGCTTGAGGTATTTGCTCAATATCAGTATGAGGATCATAAAATCTTGGCTTTTCTCTCCTATGAATTTTCAAACGTGTATTATAATCTCTTGAAGACAAAGCCGTTTGATACATCCAATTCGTCTTATTGATAATTTTACGTGGCTTTGAACCCAAATACACTCGTCGTGAAAGAATATTACTTGTACTATCTACTCCTGATGCTTCTTCTCCTTTATCACTCAGATCATCATCATTAAATCTGATTGAGGATTCATAATAATCATCTCTCCTCTTTTTCCCTCCTACAATAAGTTTTGACCCAAATAACTTGTATGTAGATCTGGCTGATACGAGCGTAATCGCTCTGCTTCTAAAATTTGATGGTAAAAATCCGTGCGTGATAAGGTAATCACGTTCTTGATTCGTTGCATGTATTCTTTTCAAAGTTGGGTTTCGCAAAAAAAATAGATAACTGTCACGAAAACCCAAAAGTTTTGCAGGATCCATAGATAACATGTACCAGGTGTTTCCTCGCGATGGCAATTGAAAAACTGATACTTTAAATTTACGACCACCTAATAAATCACCATCTTTTGTAATTTTCATTTCTCCTTTTTCATCTATTGTACCATCATCTTCATCTCCTTCAAAATCATCAATATCCATTGGTTGTGTTGTCAGTTCACCAACCTTTTGATGAGTTCTAACAAAAGCACCATCTGTTTGCTTATAATATAATGTAGAATCGTTGTCATCATCATCATTGATCGATGTTTCATCGTCTGATTTCTTTCGACGTTTTGTATCAACATCATCTTTTGTTTTCTTTCTACGTTTCGTTATACCATCGTCATCTGTTTTCTTTTTACGTTTTGAGCTAGGAGGTGTGCTGGTAACAGATTCTGGATACTTACGCGGTCTACCAGGTCCACGTTTTACTGGGGTGGTAACTAAGTCAATCGGCTGTGAAAGTGGTGTAGGTGTTGAAGGTGTTGAAGGCTCAGGATTAACAGTATAACGTATTCTTAACCTTCCCATTCTGACAGTTGGTTGTGGTGTTTGTTGATTTTCTTGAGATGGTTGGTCAATATCTGAATCTGTAGTTAACGAACCTTCTCGAGTTTCTGTAATAGTTTGTGGAGTTTCTACTTGCTCCTCTTCATTAGGTGTAATTTCTGATACGGGAGCTTGTTTTTTACCTTTTCGTGCAGCAGAACGTGTTTGTCTTGGAATAGGAGCAAGATTAGAACGCGTACTGCGTTTTGGATTTTCTCTTACTACATTATGTAAATTAGAGGTCATCACATATGGTTAGAAATATAACGCGAAAGAAAAAAAGTTGCATGATTTTTAAACAAATTTTTTTCACACAACTTGACCATAACCTTGTCATAAAAATTTTTAAAAAAGTACAAACCTCTTTGAGGCATTTTATAGGCTGTAAAGAGGCACTGCTTTGTAAAATGAGGAAAGAAATTTTAAAACGTACGTAAGTCACGTGATAATACTAGAAAGATATGATTGGTTCTCATTATTTCACGTTCTTTTTTTTTTTTTTTTTTTTTTTTTTTTCGATAATCTTATCAAAAAAAAAAAAAATAAAATAAAAATTTATTATGATTTTTATAATAATCACATTAAGTATAAGAAAATGGTCTGTTTACTATCATATAGAAAGTCTTTTAGACTATTTGATAGAAAATTCAGTTTATTAGCGAGGTCTTTGAATAATAAAACAGTGTTTAATGTAAGACGTTATGTTAGTGTTGTTTCTGTGAATCCAGACCTTTCGCAAAATGTAAACTCCGCTGAAATAGTAAGTAATTTGTAATTTAATATTTGCATATTTACTTTTTTTTTTTGTCTGTCTGAATTTTTTTTTTTAATTTAGAACCGACTTCAAAGACTTCGTAATATAGGTATAAGTGCACATATTGACTCAGGAAAAACAACATTAACTGAGCGCGTTCTTTATTATACTGGAAGAATAAAGTAAAAACTATTATTCATTAATGATATTTCAGATATTGAAAATTTGATCAATTAAACATATTTTCGTTTTATTAATTTATTATCTTTTTTTATGAATAAGAGCAATACATGAGGTTCGAGGAAAAGATGGTGAAGGAGCCAAAATGGATAGCATGGAATTAGAAAGAGAGCGCGGTATTACAATCCAATCTGCTGCGACTTATTGTAATTGGAAATGGCAAGATCATGGAAATTATAATATCAATATTATTGATACTCCAGGTTATAAAAGAAACAAAAGAATTCATTATAAAATTCTTTTTTTTTTCTGATTGATTTGAACTTTGTTTACATTTTTTAATAGGACATGTTGACTTTACTATTGAGGTTGAACGTGCACTAAGGGTTCTTGATGGTGCTGTTTTAGTTTTATGTGGTGTCGCGGGTGTTCAAGTAAGCGTTGTTATGTTATGTAATATATATATATATATATCAAATATAACTTACAAGACTATTTTATGTAATTTAAAGAGTCAAACCATTACCGTCGACCGTCAAATGCGTCGATATAGTGTCCCTCGCATATCATTTATTAATAAATTAGATCGGTTAGTCTACGTTATATGATATTATAACTTTGTAATTTATTTTTTGAACTTTTAAATTCTTTACAGTGTTGGTGCAAATCCATTCAATATAATTGAACAAATTCGACAAAAATTGAGAATAACCGCGGCTGCTGTACAAATTCCGATAGGGCTCGAAGACAACTTAAAAGGTGTTGTCGATTTAGTAAAATGGAAAGCTATTTATAATGAAGGAAATCGAGGGTAAAGAAAATAAAAAAAAGCTCCTTTAATTAAATTTAATTTTCAAAATAGATATTACATAATAACATGAATTAATTAAATAGTGAAAAGGTGGTTGAAAAAGAAATTCCAGAAGATTTGATAGAATTTTCTATGAAAAAACGTCAAGAATTAATTGAAACTCTTGCAGATATAGATGATCAAATTGCAGAAATTTATCTAAATGAAGAGAATCCTACTTCACAGCAATTAA